GTGAATGGCATACACAAGATGATCCTCAGTTGATCGCCTTCGTCGCAATCCGTACTGGCAATCACTGAGGAGGTCGTTGTCTTCAAGGTACGACAGGAGACGGTTGTTGAGTACACGTTCCATAGTCTTGCAGAGTATGGAAGTGACTGAGATAGGTCTATAGTTGACTGAGTCAGCTCTGCTTCCCTTTTTCGGCACAGGTTGCATGTTTGCAAGCTTCCACGACCTGGGAACTACACCAGTCTCAAGTGAGAGGCGGTACCTATACAGGCGTAGGCGTGTGAGAACAGGAGACAACACAGGCGCACAGTTACGTAGGACTAATGCTGGAATTCCATCTAGCCCGCTAGCTTTATTCACGTCTAGATTCCAAGTACCTACCTCTTTTTGGCGTATGCGAATTGGCCGGCCGGCGGCCACCCTGAAGTAAGATGAGATCCAGACGCGAACCTTTGCAAAGATTGAGGCAAAAAGATTTGCCTGGTCTTCTGCAGTATAGGCCCGCGTGCCGTCCGGCCTCAACAGAGGTGGCATAGATGAGCGACAAAAGTTAGTGACTTTTTAATTAAAGATGTTGTTTAAAAAATTAATTTGTCAATTTCTGGCGTCGTCATTTTCACTACGCATACACAATATGGAATGGTAATGGTAAATGAAAGAACCTACTTAAATAAGTCTAATTACATGAAATATTTGGGCTATTGTGTGATTTATAGACAAAAAAATAACACATGCCTGTGCAATGTAACATTCGATTGATTTGCACTTTTCTAAAGTCACATCCCTTAATGCTGCAACGTCGCATTTTTATGAATACCTAATTATTCTCACTGTCAATATTTTTGTCCAATTTAATTATAATACATGCGAATAATTCAATAGTACATTTGGAAAAACATTTGTTTTGACATTTGATGTATTTCCCTTTGACAACGGTATCATGTACCTCATGTACTGCGAAATGGACACGGTTAGCATTTAAGATGACGTTACGTATTTTCGATTCCCGTGTTTGACACAGACCAATGTAATGCTATCTCTTTTGGCTTAAGACGGCACGTAATAGTTAAATAAAGACAATAACATGTTTATGTTTTCGACGTCGAAATGCATCATATACATATAACCTTATATAGTATCGATGCATATAACGTCTGATTTATATATGTCAACGTAACATGTCCTTTAGTTTTCATAGTCTAAGGCCTCGTGGCAGATTGAGTGGCGGCGTGGTAAAAAAAACAATATTTATCCTTTATCATATTGTATGTCAAAGAAGATACTTATTGTCTAGTAAACAAAACAGGAAGTAAAAATATATAGCTAACCATAATAAGATCATACTTGAAGCAAAAGTAATATGAGTAGTCCACTAATAAACTGCGTTATGTGCGTGGAGTAAAAAAGCTATAAAGTAAAAAAAAATTAGATATTGTTCCGGAAACGGATTTTAAATGGTACCTACTTTTTTTAATTATCTGAAAATTGTGATAAAAAAGACAAACAATATGAAGAAACAAAATCACAGTATTAAACTTTTTACTTTGTTTCCATTTAAAAATTGAATATAGAGAGTTTTGCAACAGTAATCGTAAGATAACTAGTTTTGTAATTGTTCAGAATTAACGTAGCTAGTTTTGCAACAACACAATGATAACTTGGCTAGTTTTGTTATAATAATAGTTAAAAATACGACTTAAATCTAATTTAACTCTTAAATCCACGTTATCAACCATCAGTGTATTTTCATTATCTGTCATTTCTTTTTCTTCGGTCACATTTGATTGCACTTGCCCGATAATGTGAGTATAAAATTCAAGAATTTCTCACTGCAATACTCAAGTCCTGACTTGAGTATACGATCCTTAGGGTCGTCAAGTCCCTGCCATTAGGGTCGTATTTCCAGTGCTTGTGTTTCCATTGCAATCCTGACGACTCAGTGTTTGCAAGTGGACTACTCATATTATGTACCTATGTACTTATATTGTTTTTAGCATGCTAGAGGAACCACAAAGAAAGCTAATCTCAGATGACGCTTGAAAACACTGGTCATTGTAATTCCACTGAGACTCCATTGAGATTACATTGCAATTATGATTATATTTGCTACACTGTTATGATCTATAGTCTGTTCGAATCCATTTTGAACAAAAAGTAAACCTGTTTGGTTAAAATTCTAAAGCAATCACTCAATAAATCGAATAAGTAACACTTTCACGAATATTTCGACTTGATATATCATCACTGTTTCCAACAATATTCATTTGAAAAGCATCGTAAAAACGTATTTGAAAAATGATAGTCCAAAAGTGAGGTTATTATTCATCTATACTTCTATGACTTGCCTATAGTTGCATAGTGCTGTCCAAAAAAAAACATTCGGTTCAATTAATTAAAGTTTAGTAATCGATTATTAAATAAAACATTTCAATCGCAATCGAACGAGTATCTAAGTGTAAGGATTTGAAGGAGGATTTAAATTGAAATTTTAAATGTGCTCATATAGGTTATGTAAGGAAAACCGCTAGTATGACTCAATTGAACAAATCGATTCATTCAATTAATTAATCGATTTGTAGTTGGCGTTACAATTGGCCACTACTAAATCGTGTATGGTCGGGTCAGTGACTTGTTTGTTTACTTTTTGTTCAAAATGGATTGAAACGGAGTATATTTGCAATGGCAGTTGAATCCACGGAAGAAATAAAGCAATGGAAGTGCCTTAAGCCTCGATTACTATGAGAACCGCTCCTGCCAAAACTTATACATTCATACCAGCGATGCGCGACTTTGATTGTTACTAATACTAATCATTCGAATGCGCAAATCATTCGCCCAAGTCGAATCCAAGCACAATCCGAATGACTCGAGTCGAATGATTAACAATACCGAATGCCAATGCCATTCGGTCGGGTGCACGAGTCGAATGATTATTATATCGGAACACCTCATTCATCATGTCCATACCAAAATATCCCTGTCCCCGTCACCTATACAGTATTTACCGTTATGTCAGAGAGGGCTAGGTGATAACGAACAGAAATGCTCTAGGGAATCTATGGATTAGTACTACTAATTAGTAATGAATGATCATTCAAATCATTCGAATACGAAAGTTAGTAGGTTATTAATTTGTGACCGTCAGGATGCCTGGTCGCCTGGGGCGCCTGGCACTGAATGTATATTTAAGAATTGCTACCTACTTGCTACCTTTTCTAAATAATTGCTACCTATGATATATTCTGAGAAATTAAAAAAAAATTTGACCAGCTATTCTGACGTCAGGATGGTTGGTCGCCTCTTTGTTCAGCATGAAGGGAAAGAATCCATCTTCTTCTGGAGGCAATCCAGAAGTATGTATTACCAATAATTGCTACCTTCACGAATTAAAGGTATACGCTTCATATATAAAGAGAACCTTCTCACCGCAGCTAGTACCTTTATAGGTGCCTCAAGCTAACGTTAAATTTTTCTAACTATATGTTCGGTCTTTGTATTATAATCATAACAAAACTAGTGGAGTTATTTTATAAAAATCTTTCAAATGGAAAGAATATATAATAAATATTAATAAATTTCAAATGGAAAGAATTTGTTTCTTTTTTTTATTAGAAACTACGATCAATAATTATCTAGATATCTTAGTGATATTATTGACATTGTGATAATGTGTGTTTTCTGATGCTAGTAGAGGCTTAAGGCTCTTCCATTGTTTTTTCTTCCGTGGTAAATGCTGTTAGGGCGCATTCCCATAATGTCGTGACGACTTATATTCGTGCAGGTTAAAGGGTCGTGACTTGTATATTTAAATGAAGTTGTTCACATATAATAAAAGACGATTAACTGTCGTTATCGACTTTTTTGATGTTACGACGACAGTCTATCATGGTAATGGGAAGAGCCAGAACGGCAGTCGTCAGACGATAAATAACATGTCACGATAAAAATATGACGACAGATAATCGCAGCTATAACCATTCTGTCGTGAAGCGGCTGCCGTGAACCGATAAATTGTCGTCACGATCTAGTGGGAACAGCTAGACATGACAATCGTTCAACGATAAAATAAACGTAAACATTCACGACAGATAGTCGTGATATGGGGACAGGGTAGACGCGACAGTCGTCTGACGAGAAATAAAACGTTACGACATTATGGGAACACGCCGTTAGTGCCCTGTCTCACCGGGATGCCATGGCGACGTCGCCATTCGGGCGCGTTCCCATAATGTCGTAACGTTTTATTTCCCGTTAGACGACTGTCGCGTCTAGCCTGACCCCATATTACGACTATCCGTTGTGACTATGTCGTGGACGTTTATTTTATCGTTGAACGACTGTCGTGTCTAGCTGTTCCCATTAGATCGTGACGACAATTTATCGTAGGAAATGAAACTATTTTTCCGGATTTAAATCGCATATATTTGTCAAACAAACCGACGTTTCGGGCCCTTTACAGGTCCCATGGTCACGGTTGACTGAGGTGGTACAGTCTTCAACCAGTTATGTCTATATTAATGCAAACCACCCTATTTTTTCACTATAGTTACAATAGTTATTAATTAAATACCTTATTTTTAATTTTACAAAGAAAACATTCCAATTTACGCTACATTAAGTTTTACAAATTATTTATTGAATGAATTTTTATTAAATTTAATTTATTATTAATTATTAATAGAAATTAGAATAAACTAAAACATATTAATTAGTACTGCAGTCTTATGTCTGTTTGGGATTTTTCATTAGAGGAAATACTGGATCCCAAACTGGTGGTACGGAGAAAGCATCTACCCTGTTGAAATTAGGATGTTTTTTAATTTCAATGGCCTCTCGCAGCATTCTGGGTAGATAACGGACTTCTTTTGCAAGGATCTGGGGTTTGTCAAACTTCATTGAATGTGTAGGTTTATCCATGACATGCTCGCAGACTAGTTTCATTAGTTTCACAGATAGTTTCATTTCCTATGTGTAACAATCGCGAAAACCTAAGAACTCGACAATTTATCGGTTGACGGCAGCTGCTATGTCGTTTGCACGACAGAATGGTACGAAGCTGCGATTATCTGTCGTCATATTTTTACTGTACACGATCAATTCCGACGTAGACGTTGACGAAACCTGTCAAAGGCGGAAACGACAAAAGCCGTAGCGCCCAAAGCGGCAGTAGCCAGAGTTCCACCCAGCATCGCCTCGCCTGCTATCGCTGCTAGAGCTGAGCCTCCCGTCAACGCCGTGGTAGCTATTAACCCGGCTGCCACCAGCATCGCGTTACGATTATTGTCGTCAGTCGCCACTAACTCTTGAGGCTCAGAGTTCCTTGCATTTATCTCCCTGTAGTACTCTAGCCGCTCTCTGATATCCTGCATTAGTAATGTTGTGAAACAACCAAAACAAGACAAGACAACAAAAAAACAAAAACAAGTGAAAGTCTATTTATATATATATAATATCCATCGAGTATATAACCAGAAATAGAGACAAAATAAGGGCCATCACATAAATCACTCTTAAATCATCAATCAACTCTCGTTTGCGCTGAAATCACTAATTAGAAAGCGGAAATAGTGCAGCACCAACAACTGACCTGTGTGTAGGGGAACGTGGGGTATTGAGAGCCCGCGGGTAATGAGAGCGGTGTTAAACTGGACTTTCCCAATGCTCGTATTTGTGCAAACGGCACTCCTATGTCTTCGTTAACGTTCGACAAGGTTCGAGTCCCGTGGGCGTCCCCGTAGAACCCCGCGTTTAGTCGTATGAGATGGTTGTGTGTTTTTCGCTCCGAGCTTATAAAATTTGCTAAATTTCATCATCCCAGGTAAGCGTTAAAATGCTTAGATACTACATTGTATTTACACTAGCTATGTCATCAAATCTATCAAATTTTAGAAGTTATGCTTGACATCACAATAAAAATAGAAATGTTTTTACTGTTATACGTATTCCTTTTTCAATTCGATGTTACGCGGGTAATGAGAGCTATTTGGCTCTCCTTATCCCATTACAATATTCACTTATACATATATTAATATATATGGATATTCTTTAAACACTTTCTTGTTTATTTTCATTACTTTTTAACTTATATATTTTATTACTTTAATTTTTTTTTCAGACTGATTATATGTAATGGCTCCCATTTGACATACGGGATTCTTACCGGCTCCCATTTCCCGAACTGTGGGGTAATGTGAGCGAATGACATGCTTTAGTTTTTTCTTTTTTAACCAAATATTTTATTTTAGTTTCATATTTTTTCTGTGATTATCTAGTACCCAGATATGTGAAGCGTACGTTCATAACTAATAAAAATTTTAATTGCCTAAATTATGACTTTTATTGTCAATTTTCCTTAGTAGGCTACCATTCCCCCACGCTCCCCTACGTCTCCGTATATTCCAAAAATATTCTATATTTATTGTAATAAAAATAATATATCTAACAACAGGGGACTCTTCCATTTGGTGGTATGGGAAAAACAGCAAAACATCTAATTACAAAACAAACGGAATCCTATTTCATCGGTAATTAAATATTCAATATGTAATTTTAAATTTTTCGTCCATTATAGAAAAGCTCAAGTCACCGTAATGATTTAGCAGAATAACTTTCAAATAAATTATATAACATTTCATCTCTATTTCTCTTTTTAACCGACTTTAAAAAAGGAGGAGGTTCTCAATTCGACTGTATGTTCTTTTTTTTGTATGTATGTTACGCGATAACTCGATAACGATTTGTGAACCGATTTTCATGATTCTTTTTATGTTGGAAAGGGGGCACTTCCATAGTGGTCCCATTTCATTTTGAAGAAAATAATCCACCTCGAAGGGTGGCTGTTCACGCATGAAGATTCATTTTTATAAATAGCGCCTAACTTTAATTTAGGAGTAATTACTTTAATGCTTGATTTTGCTATTTCTCCAATTCAAGGCGTTTCTCTCTCAATATACTCGAGTAGTGAACCGATTTTTATTATCTGCTGTGTCAAGTCCTGTATAGTGGCGAACTAGGGGATATTTCAATAAAACTTGGCAAATAGACGTAATTCCACGTACATTTGAGGTCGGTTTTTTTAGTACTCTGTACTGATTTTTTTGGTTATATACTCGATAATAACATCAAATGGCGGGACGAACAAGTCGTGCGCCTGATGGTAAGCTACACACACGCCTGTCAATAATAATAATAATAACGCACACACTCAACATAGCCCCGCACTATGGAAACCCTGTGTCGCGGGCGCCATGGACATACACATAGACAACCACAAATTACACCCAAACTCACGAGATAAATAAATGTAGGCCATATAAATATTTCTCCCGGTCCGGGAATCGAACCTGGGACCTCTGCGTGGCAGTCCGGCATGGTAACCGCTCGGTCACGGAGACAGTCAAATCAACAAATGTCAGTAACAGTTGCAGCGCCACTCACGAGCTTTAAATCGCAAAAAGGGCTCTGCCACTGCGCCCGTCACCCTGAGACATCAGTGGACAAGTCCCATGTGCCTGTAATTTCACCAGCAACCTTACAGGCAGTACTTCCCTGCACGAACTCTATCACAAGGAGCGCTAACGCAACCCGCTCATAGCTGTTTACCCCTTTCCTGATAAATTTATAGACTTCATGCCGTTGACACCTATACTAACATTGACTTACAAATAAATGGACGACGGGTCTAATACATAAACCACGAAAAAAATGTCCCAAGTCAACCTATTTAAACGTAGTGACATGTAAAGGAATATGAAGAAGCTAAAACGTTGAATTTAAATTGTAATGTCATCGCAGTATCGCGCTGTCAGTCGAACAAATGAAGACTAAAGAGGAGTTTGACGCTCTGTATACGATTTTAACGCCTTACAAGTTCGGACACTTTTTAGCGCGGACCCGACGTCCATATAATTGTAAGTCAATGTATACTAATTACTAAACTCAACCTAGGATTACCCCTGTGAAGGTTGAAAGAATAAATGGGGGATTGTGTTAAATTTTTTGTTTAAATATTATTAGGTTTTGAGTTTCTTAATTATTTGTTACCTATTTAAGCTGATGGCTCGGTTGCCAATGCTCACTAAATTTAGCTAATCAGTGGGATCATTTTTAGCAATGATATTATAATGCTCACTGATTTTAAGGACGCGACGCGACGCTTCGACTTTGCGCCAGTGTGAGTTGAGCCTTAGTGACATTTCGTTTGACGTTTGTCATAGGATTGAGGTAAAGCCAATAGATTTAAAGCCTTTATTGTTTTCCATCCCCTAAGATTTAAAGTCGGCCTTTTTTGCAGACGGAGTAAATTTACAGCTCATTGCACAAAAGTGTTGCCCGCTTCCGAGCAGCTAGTGATTGCAGTCGATAAATATTCTATCGACTATCGACTGAATATTGGTCACGCACTTGAGACAAGTTCGGCTATTTATTCCATAAGCGTGACTATGGCATGCAAAAACTTTTGATCATCATCGGCCCATTGTCAAACTGCTGGGCACAGGTTCATTTGAATTGTCAATTTTTGGAAGTTCTTACATATAAATACGAACAACGGCACATCAGACTACCCATTTTTGTTCGAAAATCGCCTCCAGGAACAAAATACGTCAATGTGTGGCTTGATATGCTGTCGTGTGTACATTTAGAGCTATGAAAGTATTACAAATACAAAGGGGAGACATATAGTAGCATAGCAGTAGAGCAGCTCCTTATAAGAGTTCGTCCTGGGAAGTACTGCCACCTTACCTATTTCTGCTGCCAAGCAGAAACGTGAACATTACTGCGTTTCGGTTTCGAAGGGTACGGGTGCTGGTGAAATTATAGGCACGTGGGACATGTCAACTTATATCTCAGGGTGTCGGGCGCAGAGGCAGTGCCCCTCAGATCTTTGTGATTTAAAGCTCTGAGTGACACTATAACGGTTAGGGTGTGTCGCTTACCAGCAGGCATAGGACTTGTTCGTCCCTACTACGTTCGTCCTGAGTAACATGTATATAAATAAAAAAATATTTCTTCACTAGTAGACCAACTATCAATATATGAATGAAGAAGGCAATAACGCAATTATATAGTAACCATTAGAACGTTGTAACATTCACAAGTCAGACATTTTTAGCAAAATTGTACCTCTTTCACAATCTATCGATAAAACTGTCCACAACAACTACATGACTATTTAAAATTTTATGAATACACACAACCCTGCAAATGTCATTTCACTCCGTCTTCAAAAAAGATAGAGTATAGAAAACTGAACTGAACTTGAACTGCCTCTGTGGCCGAACGGTTACCATGCCGGACTGCCACGCGGAGGTCCCAGGTTCGATTCCCGGGTCGGGAGAAATATTTGTATGGCCTACATTTATTTCTCTCGTGAGTTTGGGTGTAATTTGTGGTTGTCTATGTGTGTGTCCATGGCACCCGCGACACAGGGTTTCCCTAGTGCGGGGTTATGTTGAGTGTGTGCGTTATTATTAAAAAAAAAAGGAACCCGAAAATTACCCCGAGTCGCTGTACTTATCTTATTATAGTATTATTACTATGTAACTATTGTCCATCTTTAAGTGAATATTATTAATTAATTAATGCAGGTACACTAAAGAGCTTACGGCCAAAATAGAACTTAAATCGAAGCCCTAAGTTCCTAAGTGATATTTTTCAAAAAATATTTTAATCTGACCTCGTTAAGTTTTTCCTTGTGGGTGTCAGGGTTGTACTCTTCACCACCGAACCGTTTCTCCTTAAAGATGCGCAGTGCCAAGCCCTGGGCGTACTCGTGCGCATTTCCTAGTGCATCTTCTGATATCCGCATGCGGCCCACGCCACATACATTATCCATGCTGCTACAGTAGCCACCGTAAGCCCCTGACACTGCCAGGATGTTGTTTGTTTCATTCAATTGGCACACAGACAAAAAGTGTCGCTGGATCTCCTGGAAAATGTCATTACAGTCGCAATAAATACATATAACAAAGTAGTTAATAGATTCAGGCGTTACTTGGCCGGTAATCCAAGTTAATCAAAGTGGAAGTAATCATGTGAAGTGCCAATGTAGCAGTGGAGCTCCCTGTGAAAGAGTTCATCCAGGAAAGTACAGCCACCTTACTTATTTCTGCCGCCAAGCAGTAGTGTGAGCATTACTGCGTACCGGTTTTGAAGAGTACTTGTCAGCTTATGTCTCGGAGTGACAGGCAAAGTAGCAGGGTCCCACAGGTTTTTACGATTTAAGGGCGCGTTCAAATTAGCCGCTGTTAGAAGCGCTGCAGCCGCGCGGCGGCCGCGCTGCGTCCACGCGACTGTCGCGCTGCGAAGTGCGACCAAATTTTTGTGATGTTTTATCTTTCGACTCATTTACGCGATGGATTCTGACGAAAAAACATTACTTTTTACCTAGTTCTTGGGGTCGCACACTTCACATATAGGCATTAAAAGTTGCTCATCTGCTATGTTTTTTTTCAGTTGTAGTTTCAGTTTCAAAATTGTCAATAAATTTTAGAGATAAATTTTCCCATGCCTTTTTTATCCAGTCGATTGGAATAACTGGCGGAACTACTACCCCATGTTGCAGGGTGTTGTTTAACATTCTCTATAATTTCATCAATTCAATTTTCATCCATCGTGGTTAATTTGAAAAATTAACATGTAGGTACACTGGACTAACCGTGACGGCAACCGAGCGTGCGCCGTGCGGTTGCAGTACTTCTAGAATTTGTATGAAAAGTGACAGTCGCGCGGCTGAAGCGCGTGCTGTAGCGCGTCTAACAGCGGCTAAACTTGAACGCGCCCTAAAACTCTGAGTGACATTGCAACTAATGTAGCAGTTAGTCGTCCTGTCACTTGGTATCATTGCAAACAGCTAGTGATTGCAGTCGATAAATATTCTATCGACTATCGATTTGCTGCTATTACAGATGGAATAACTCTCTCAAGGTCGAATTACCTCAACAATTCTGCTCCTATATTCGTCAGTTTCCTCGATGTGTTCTCCGAATGCTCTTTTGGAATGAAACTCATTAAGGGCCGATTCTTTTGCATCATCGTGTTGCTCTTCGAGCCGCTGGGGGTGCAGCGCGCACGAATCAGGTCCCACCAATGCCGCCATGCGGTTGCGGTACAGACCAATTGACGCAGCTACATTCGATTGGTTCTTCCTTGCATTAAGCGAGTGTATCTTACCAAACTTTTCTTGAATTTCCTGGCATACAAAGAAGGTAAGTAATGTTACTCCAAGCGATTGCTCACAATAACAACATCACAGACGTTATTCTGATCTCAAAGTAAGTAGCTTAAGTAAAAAGCACCCGATATTCGCCCAAGCCATAAAATCCCACGTAGAAATACTCAAACCCCCAAATGAGTTGTTTTACAACTCTATTCCCCACAAAATTCCCAATCAAGTTTGTAATTCCCCAGATATTTTATTAAGTAGCCTAAAATCGCCTTTTCCTATTTCAAACATAGCCTAACTATCGCCGAGTCGCCGATCACTTTTTTAGTTGCCGCACGACCCCTCGAAGTAGCCTAAATGGCGGAAAATCGCCTAATCTGGCACCACTGATCGGAAACAACGACTGTACCACGAACACCCAGACCCTGAGACAATATATATCGAACCAGGGACCTCAGAGATGGCGAAACCATGAAAATCGGTGTGCAAGCCGCTCGACCACGGAGGCCGTCATCTTAATTACTGATGAAAAATTTTCTTATACAATATGTCTGTGCCAGACAATTACATCAATTGTGAAATGGAAACAACTCAATCACGTAACATTATTTGTCCACAATTAATGTTCCTTAATCACGTTTCAAATCAAAATCTAGTCCAGCACACGTGTTCCACGAACTGGAACACCCCATCCGCCCAACTATTATTTTTTAGACTCACGACTTGTTCGTCCCGTTAATATCATAGAAAAATACCTTTCCAAGAAGGGACTTGTAGAAATCCTCAGAGAAATTGGTTACGCGGACCCGTTTTGATTGAAATATTTGCAGAGCCCTTTCCAGAGCGTTTTCGTGTTCTCTATCCAAATGCTGGTCGCTTAGACAATCTTGCTCTGCACACACGGTCTCCAGATAAGAGAAGTAATCCTCACGAGCCTCTATCACGGCCGCATTGTTGTTTGAATCATTGAGATCACGCAGTTGACGATAACGATCTTCTAGCTCCTTTACAAAAAAAAAACATTATTAACCATTGACTTACAAATAAATGGACGACGGGTCTAATACAAAAACCACGAAAAAAATGTCCCAAGTCAACCTATTTAAACGTAGTGACATGTAAAGGAATATGAAAAAGCTAAAACGTTAGATTTAAATTGTAATGTCATCGCAGTACTGTGTAATTTTGCTTGCTTCGCTGTCAGTCGAACAAACGAAGACTAAAGCGTGAATGACGCTCTGTATACGATTTTAACGCCCTATAAGTTCGGACACTTTTTAGCGCGGACCCGACGTCCATATAATTGTAAGTCAATGTTATTAACAAAGAAAATATAAAAAAAACAAACAAGTCGTGGCACTGGTGGTAAGCGACACGCTTATCCATAGCAGTTGCAGCGCCACTCAGAGCTTTAAATCGCAAAGATCTGAAGGGCACCGTCACGCCCCTTGTGGAAGAGTTCGTCAAGGGAAGTACTGCGACCTTACCTATTATTGCCGCCAAGCGGTAATATGAACATTACGGCGTTCCGGTTTGGAAGGGTAAGGGTGCTGGTGAAATTACAGGTACATAGGACTTCTCATCTTATGTCTTGAAATGAAGTTGTTCACGTATTAACACGATCAACTGCCGTTCACGACTTTTTTAACGTTACGACTGTCGAGACAGCGGGAAGAGCTAGAACGACAGTCGTCTGACGATAAATAAATCGTCACGATAAAAATATGACGACAGATAATCGCAGTCTTAAACGATGATTTCGTCACGTTCTAGTGGGAACAGCTAGACACGACAGTCGTTTAACGATAAAATAAACGTCCATAACACAGTCACGACAGATAGTCGTGATATGGGAACCCTCATGGTGACGGTCGCAGTGCCAGTGCCCCTGAGATCGTTGCGATTTAATGCTCTGAGTGGCACTGCAATCGTTATGGACAGGCGTGTAGCTTACCATCAGGTGCACGACTTGTTCCTTCCGTCTCTTGGTGTTATAAAAAAAAATATCGATGGCTAGCCACTGAGGCACTACAGTCAACTTTTACTAGAATACCATACGCACTAAATCCTGCCAATGACTTTATCGACACACCACTGAGATGATTTATGATTAGCAGGCCTTAAAAAAATAAGCTTACCATTAACAATGAATTTCTATGCTCGTCTTCTTCGTGTCCTGGAAATATCCACAAGCTATTTGTTGTTTTATCAAACGGCTGCAACGCTTTATCAATAGCGGCTTGATGGATTTCTTCCAGGTCTTTTGGGTGGAAGCAAAAGGATTTATCTTCACGTGACTGCGTTGCAGCTTGCATAGATTCTTCGTAAATCTTCTTGGCATTCCCACGGAGTTTGTGAATCTTCCCTTCGTTTATTAATTCATACAATCCTAGTTGGTTGCTCAATTCCTAAAATAAGTAAAGATTTTTACTTGTCGGTCTTAGGCTCTGTTTATTATAACCACTCTTGGAACGAAAAAGGGCACCACTAACATTTTCTATCAAAACTGAGTTACATATTCGGGATCAGGAAATAAAGGCCCATCGAGTACATAACCGGAAATACAGACGAAATAAGGGCCATCCCTCCCTGGTAACTTATCAGGCAAATGGGCCTTACCTATATCACATTTAAATATTAACTCTCGTTTGCGCTGAAATCACTAATTAGAAAGCTGAGATAGTACAGCGCCAACAACTGACCTGTGTGTCAACAATCTCCGTATATCCCAAAAATATTCTGTATTTATTGTAATATAGATAATATCTCTAACAATTGAGGGCTGTTCCATTCGGTTGTGTGGGAAAAACAGCAAAACGGAATCACATTTCATCAGTAATATTATTTTTATTTTGATAATATACAGGTAAGGTAAAAAAGACAGTAAAAGTTTAAATACTAGAAAGTAAAACTAGAATTTTTAAATTATATGAATAAAATTGCCCAAGACGCTGGCAGCGGTCCCCCTTGGTATTGCTATGCTAATGTGTTGTGCAAGGTAGTCCTTGGGTTTTCCAGACAGTCTATTAATTTTTTGGATAATATTTTGTACATATGAAGGGCACTGGGATCCCACGGGCCAAAGGTCAATTAGCAACGCAGAAAACTGCGACGCGAATTGCTGCGACGCCATTTTGTACGGCAAGGCGTCTCACTGCCACGGTTCGGGTAACCATTAATTGACGATCGTCAACCGTATTTTTTAAACTAGGTACTGGCAAGGATCGTAAAAAGAGTGTTGCACTGCCGTTATTGATTGCGACGTCGCATCGAAGTTTTGTGTTTCGACCCTCAAATGTGCAATTCCGTGGCACACAATTCGTGATATTATATCCTTTATGGCGGTATTCAAGGCTTTGCAACTACGAAAGCCTCTTGGCACACTTTTCATCATGTGAACCCAAGATTTTGTATTTAAAGTCTATCTTCTTTGAAGACGGAGTAAAATGACATTTGCAAAAATGCCAGTTTTCTTAAAATTTCAAACAGTCATGTAGTGTTGTCGACAATTTTATCGATAGATCGCGAAAGACAAATTTTTGTCAAAAATGTTTGAATTGTGAATATTACGAGTTCCTATTGATTGCTAATTGCATTACCGCCTTCTTTACTCTTAATTTTACAGTTGGTCTACTAGTACCGAAATCAATTTTCATTCATATACATTTTAATAAGGACAGACGGATTCGACTATCTGTATAGAATTAATATGAAAAACTTAAAAATATGTCTCCTCTTTGTATTTTTAAAATACATACTTCTAAATGCAGTGTATGTATGTATATATCGACGCCGGAAAGCAATCTTGTCGTATCTCGAAAAATAGGACTTTACACCAGTGGGGCTACTCTCCATCTCCGTCCGACATCCGTCCGAAACAATTACTGTCAAATAAGTAATATTCGACAAAATTAAAAGACAAGTATCAAGTATGAAGCTTCATTACGCGTCTTTTCATTTGGTCAAGTTCAAAAAATTATTTTTATGATGTATATAATTATACCTTAAAATTGACTTTCTACTAATTCAAATTAAAGAAATAATTTTTTTAAATAATTTTTCGGTTCTGGTGTAAAGTCCTATTTTTCGAGATACGACAAGATCGCTTTCCGGTGTCGATATGAACTTACAAAAATCCTGAAAGAAAAAGGCCCGTAGGTTTTATTTGGGGCATTATAGTCAAGTTAGCCACCATGCAATTAGGGCATGCAAACCGGTTACCCGGTTAGCCGAAAAAACCGAATAACCGTCCATTTCTTTCTAAAAGAGTTATGGGGGTTGATGTTGTTCGCTTCCACAGGTTTACCCTTGACCACTTGACAAGTGACCCCTGATTGTTGCTAAAGAGCAACAACGCAGTCGAGTCGCCAAGAGTTCCGGCTTGTGTTCGGGAGTTGCCATTAGGAGGTCGGGTATGAACAGTTGCATTGTGTGCAATCACACAAAGTGTGGTGGAAAATTATAAATTTATATATTTAAATATTTCCAGAAGCCGGAATACACTTAAAGAACAGTGTTAAGTAACTCATGACTGACTAGACATTGGCTGAATTCAAGAGAAACCAGAAATTTAAAAATAGAACAGAATAGAAAATTAGCTGCTTACCTGCTTTAGTTGGTCACCGCGAGTCTGCAAATCTTGAAGGTCAATCATACCCTTCGTTTGGCTGAAAGTCTCCATCACCTCGCAGCACGTGCGCTCGTGAATGTCACGCAAAACCACATGTGACACGCACGGGGCGTCAACGGCACAAACGTTTTCCATTTTTTGTCTGTACCGGTCTCGCGCTGATTCTACCGCAGAGAGCAATCGCGCTTCAGATGTTGCCTGTGGAATAAAACTCAGACACTGTATTTCGGTCATTCTCGGACCAATGTTCACTACCTATAGTCTGTCTTTTTTGAAGCCTAATAAAATGACGTTTGTAGGCTTGCCCAAAACTTTTCACATAATTTTAAATAGTTATGTAGTTGTTATCGATAGCTTTAACGATAGATTGTGAAAGAATATGAAATGTTGCCAAAAATGACAGAATTGTGAATGTTACGACGGTCTAATGATTACTAATGGCGTTATTGCCTTCTACCATTGACTTACAATTATATGGACGTCGGGTCCGCGCTAAAAAGTGTCCGCACTTGTAAGGCGTTAAAATCGTATACAGAGCGTCAAACTCCGCTTTAGTCGTCATTTGTTCGACTGACACCGCGATACTGCGATGACATTTCAATTTAAACTTCGAATAGGTTGACTTGGGACATTTTTTTCGTGGTTTTTGTATTAGACCCGTCGTCCATTTATTTGTAAGTCAATGCCTTCTAAATTCTTATTCTGACAGTTGGCCTACTGGTACCTAAATCAATATTTATTCATATAAGTTTTAACAAGAATAGCCGGATTTGGTTCGGATGTCTCCTATTTGCATTTTTCATAGACATAGTTCTAAATACAGTGTAGGTATGTATAATCTTACAAAAATTGACAATTCAAATGAGCTTGTGAAATGAAAATTTGACAAAATATTCAACAAAAATATCAAATCGAGTTCTTAGGTTTTCGCGATTGTTACACATAAAAAATGAAACTATTATTCCGGATTTAAATCGCGTATATTTGTTTTTTCAAACAAACCGACGTTTCGGGCCCTTTACAGGTTCCATGGTCACGGTTGACACTGACAGGTCCCATGGTCAAAGCCAATTTGCTATTTGAAAGTAACTCTCTACGTCCTTGAATTTCCACTGCATCTTTCGGTTACACCTGTATATGTATACATAATGTATATTAGACAACATCACATTAAACAGAGCAAACGTGTGATCAGCGATGTGCCGGTTGTCAAATAGCGTCCCCGACCCGGGAGGGTTGTGCACGGGAGTGCGTCAGTCCGCGCATTTTTCGTCTAACCCGACTCGGAGCGAACGAGATTTATAACTTTATTTATTACGTAATTACGTCAGCACACTGTAAACGCACACAGTAGGTATATTTGTATATTTGATATATTTAAGTACTTTTGCGATCTACAATATAATACAGTTTATTTTTATTTTGTGACACACACGTCTGTCACTCATCTCAGCTCAGGGCTCATTGAAAACCAGCGCCACAGTCGATTGCGGCTGTGGCATAAGCTGAACGAAGTCCTATTGCATACGCCATAACCGCACACATGACAGTACAACATTTGTAGTTGTTATATTTAGTCTTTTTCTGTTTTGCTCTTTGTTTGTTATTGTCTTATTTTATTTTATTTTTATTTTGTTAATTATGTCTTTTTGTTTTGTTTTGCTTGTCTAAGTGGTAACAATATTTTTATTTTTTTTTGTATCTATGTGTTGTGGCGTTGCAATAAATGTCTATTCTATTCTATTCTATTCTACATACGTTGCTCTGATCCCAAAATAAGTGGCTAAAGCACTTGTCACTGTTGCAAAATCGGAAACAATGACGGTATCACAAACTCCCAGACCCGAGACAATAATAGAAAACTAACTTTTATTGTATCGAACCCGGGACCTCAGACATGGCGACACCTTGAAAACCGGTGGGCAAGCCACTCGACCACGGAGGTCGTCATGTCACATTATATTATGACATTGTAGCTTCCAACTAGGGCTTGTTCCCGGGAATTCCCGGTACGGACGAGGGGCAATAAATCCCGGAATTATAGATTCCCGGTTATATATAGTTTTAAACGTTCGCGTTGCATTGTACTAACATTTGAAAACGGTTATAAACGCGTTTACTGCCTGGCCGACAGCCCGTGACCACGGCCAGTGCAACCTGGTTGAAACGTCGGGAAACTAGGTAGGTGTGAAAAATACCTATTCGTATGTAAACGCGTTTATTCCAAATGTTAGTATAGTGTAATCTTCATGAGAATCTTAATATAAATAAGTGTAATTTATTTTATACCTTACCCTTATTATGCTCTGGGGATGAGGTAATTCGTTGCTGTTGAACACATCCACGTACGATTTAAAGAAATGGTACAGATCACGGGCTTTGACAGTCTCCCCGTTGATTTGTTTTGGCAGTAGGTTCTCAGGCGCCAATATCAGTGGGATCAGTTGGAGCAATTGTTCTTTGAATTCTTCACTCAAATCTGAAGATAAATTTTGTTTTTTACATTTGGACGCGTTCCCATTATGTCGTAACTTTTTTATCGTTGGACGACTGTCGATTTTAGCCTGTTCCCATATTACGACTGTCTGTCCTGTGTCATGGACGTTTTTCTATCGTTGAACGACTGTCGTGTCGTTGACGAAACAAAAAAAAAAACAAAAACACGTTACGACGTTTTTATCGTGACGTTTTTTATTAATCGTCAGGCGACAGTCGTTCTAGCTCTTCTCATTGTCACGACAGTCTGTCAACAACAAAAAAGTCGTGAACGACAGTTAATCGTGTTGTAAAACAAACCACGACACTTTAAACTGTACAACTATCTGTCGTCACGACGTAGTGGGAACCGTAGATAGTGGGGACACGCCGTAACAATCAGGTGGGGTAAGAGGAACATAGTACATTTTGAGGAATAGATAAAGTCTTATAAAAATTTTCATATACACTAAACTTGCCGTTTTTTTATTGCACAGGAAAAATCACATATTACATTTAATAAAAGGAAAACAAACAAAAGGTACTGCTTATTTCTATTAGAAATTTCTTCCTGCAGACCAAAATACAGGAGAAAATAATTGTAATAACGGGCTCACGTGCACAAAATACAAAATGATGTGATACAATATTCACCATTAAACTATTATAAACTAGATAAATAATTAGATAAATAAATATTTCAAAATATAATACCTATAAACTGGATGGAACAGTAGATAAATAATGCTCTAAATCTCAATTTAAAATTAGCTAACTTCATTAATGTCCATCTACCAAATAGGTTGGATGGACATTAATTACCTACGTATTAATATAATCAAAACTAAATTTATGAGATTTAGATCGTATAATTCAAATCCCATACCAATTAAAATTCACTACAACACTGACACTAAAGATTAAGTTAACACATTTAACTTTCTTGTATTGACAATCGATAAACATCATAACTGGAAGGATCACATCGCACAAATTTGTATGAGACTAAATAGATTTGTTTACGCTCTGCGAAGACTAAGGCAAATTGTCTGTCGAGAAGCGGCGCTGAAGGCCTATGACGGCTACGTTTCGTCCGTACTCAACTACGGTCTTATGCTATGGGACAACTCAGTAGATGTAGATAGCTGCAAACCGTTGTTCAAAAAACTAAACATACTGCCTTTGCCATGCATGTATATAAGGGATATCTGCGTATTCGTGAACACTTATCCTCAATATTTTAAAACACGTGGTGAAGTGATACAAAGACAAACCAGAGCTAAAATCATGAATCTTTTGTACCAACCTCGATGACATAAATTAATTTATAAGAATAACTGCTTCAATATGTGCATAAGGATCTTCAATAATTTACCAAATGAATTTTAATTACTTCACGGACCTACGTTTAAATCACAGTTGACAAAATGTCTTATGACACATTGCTTCTATAGTAATATGGAATATTTAGAATTTACAAATAGTAATTTACATTGATTTGAAGTAATAATAATAATAAGTAATATAATAATAAATAACGCACACACTCAACATAGCCCCGCACTAGGGAAACCCTGTGTCGCGGGTGCCATGGACACACACATAGACAACCACAAATTACACCCAAACTCACGAGAGAAATAATTGTAGGCCTATTTCTCCCGGCCCGGGAATCGAACCTGGGAGTGGCAGTCCGGCATGGTAACCGTTCGGCCACGGAGGCAGTTGATTTGAACTGCAAATAATTTTCGAGGGTATACTATTTAATTCAATAATATTTGCACACCTCCTTGCAGGTTTAATACATTGTATCTATTTTTATTGTAGATCTGTATAATTACTGTATACTGGCAAATAAACGTTTCTATTCTATTTCTGTTCTATTCTAACGTTGTACTTTCGTGAACAGAAATAGGAAGTGTGTTCCAAAGTCTGACCGCATGAACTGAAACTCGAGGGACGAAAGGTTATAAGGGACTTTGTTATAGGTACAGTAGAAGTGGTTAGTAAGCGTCAGACGCTGGTAATAGTATTTTATATCGTCGGTAAGTCTTATTTTTAACAAATTCTCAATTTTCTGTTTATCGAATTGATCAGATGTTAATCGTTCGTCGTAGACCAACTACAGGCCGCAAGATGGCAGCACGTTGAATAAAATGTCAATATAAAATCAAAACGTCGTAACTTGCAATAAACGTATTAGACTTTCAACGATATGGCGACTGGGTAAAGTTTAAATTATATTAAACAATCCATATTTGTTACATCTTTTTCAATTAGAAACTATGACCAATCATTGTCAAGATTTTGTAGTGTTTGTCATTTTGACCCCTCCGACGTAAAGTATCGTATGTCGAAATTGCCAAGTTTACAAAGGAGCCTCTTAAATATTCTGAATTCACTGAAATAAGCACAACACGTGACTTTACCATTTCTCAGTTTTATTCGACAAAGCCCGTTACTCACATAGAGTATTATAAAATCCTAGATATCAGTTAGATGATGTATTAGATGATCACGCTATTTGAGTAACGAGCTTTGCCGAATAAAACGGAGAACTTTAAAACGCTTCCCTGTAAACTTGGCAATTTCGACATACGATACTTTACGTAGGAGGGGTCGATTTGTTTGCGTGCATTTTGGTGACATCGGTTCCGGTGTCGGCAAGGCTGAAGGCACTTCCATTCATTTCTTTCCTTCCGTGCTAAATCCAATACTTACAATGTAGGGAGTTGGGCAAAACGGTTACGGTGGGCAAAAAGGATATTAAAATATACTCTGTATTAAAGCAAATGTAAGAAACCTTGATTACGTATAGCGCTAACGCACTCTCTTCACAGGCAAATTAGTATCCCAGTCTAAATTATATATAACTGCCTCCTTGGCAGAAGTCTCAGAGTATTTGTATGGCCTACATTTATTTCTCTCGTGGGTTTAAGTGCAATTTGTGGTTGTCTATGTGTGTGTCCATGGCATCCGCGACATAGGGCTTCCCTAGTGCGGGGCTATGTTGAGTGTGCGCGTTATTATTATTTTTATTTCAATGGGACCACTATTGATGTACCCTCTATTCAACAAAAAAGAGAGCCCTCAAAATCGTTTTGATTACAGCTCATACGTGGCTTTGTTGTGCAAAGGGCACGTTTTAGACCTATATTACCTGACAGGCAGCCTCTGAAATTTGGATCACGTATAGCGAACCCAGGATGTGGCATTAAAAATCCCTGCGACGTTACGAAGCAGTCCAAGATGCATCTTCTAACATCCTGCAGCTCCTTTGCTTGGTTGTTGGTCACCTAGGCATTAAGAAGAGTTAATGCTAAATACAAACACAAGATGCTTAATCGAATTGCTTTATGAAATTTGTGTCGAATAAACGCACCCTTATAATGCCAAGGGGATATGGTTTTAACACATTCATCGCCGTGGTGGGTCAATATGACCGGCACGACATACCTAAGTTTCCGATGCTCGTTCACGCCGCAACAGGTGGCAAACGTTACGTATTTAGCCACATAAAATTATCGACGCGGCAGTGACGAACTTCTGTTGCCATTTGGTTTTTAGGAGTTTTGATGGCATGCCTACTTTAAAAAAGAAAAAAGTCCTTCGATCCGGTCGGATTCGAACCGACGTCTTCTAGCATACCGTGCCAGACGCTATACCAACTAAGCTAAACTTTTAAAATTTAAAATGCAATGAATAGCGACATCTCTAGCCGGGGCTGGTAGCTGTAAAGGTATCTAACTGGGTGACGAAATACTTAGATTTCTCATAGATGGCGCTACGGCTAAAAAGTCGTTGAAAAACCAAATACAAAGACATGACAAGCACATAGAAAAATTTGTGAGGTCCGCTGGTTCGTTCCATGGCTTATTTGGTATAGCGTCTGCCACGGTAAGCTAGAAGACGTCGGTTCGAATCCGGCCGGATCGTTTCGAGGTTTTCACTCTAAGGTACGATATACAAATGAGACCAAAAACGGTCATACATATAAGCGTCAATGTCATTTTTTGAACATTTCGACTCATCCATAAAACAAAGATCTATGTGCAAGATTGCTTATTCTCAGGACATTGTACATTTTGTGTGTTTGTGGATATCAAATCGATCGTTATTCGATTTATACTTCCGAAACGAAATAATACATAAAATTCTGAAAACACCTAGAGCTAGGTCTTATTTTGAATAACGAGATTATGTATTTATCCTCTTTTCGTTGTATAATCACATCGGACTCTGTTCTTCGGAGGAGTCGGTTTTTGAAAATTCTAGTCGGCGATGAACGTGTTAACCACTCTGTCGCTCCGCGAATATGTAGTAGACATTTATCTACTCATTTGGAACACCTGTTCCGACCATTGATAATTACAACAAACCAAATAAATTAAGTCAAAGTCAAAGTTTATTTATTCCATAGGTAAAATAAATTTACACTTGAAATCGTCACATTTAAGCTACTGCTCGTTCACTACGCTGACCTCCCTGAGAAGAACGAGCAAGAAACTCTAGGGATTGCTCTTTTCAAATAAACTTAAATGCTATGGAATACACTTTGAATCAAATTTGTGTGGATTCTGGAGCCGTGTCGTCTTTCCATACATCTTTATCTAACACGTAGTCTTCAATTTTGTAATATGATTTTTCGTTCAAAATATTTTTAATGTAGTTTTTAAACTCAGGAAACAATAAACTTAATATACGCTCCGGAATCTTATTGTAAAAACGTATACTGTTCCCCATAAAAGAGTTGTTTACCTTGGTTAAACGAAATCGTGGTACCATGAGTTTGGACTTAGCTTGGACTTGGACTTCTATGCTTGGACTAATCGATTTTACGTTAGGTAATTCAAATTTAACACATTTTGTCTTCTTGGCATTAAGCAATAAATTGTTAGTATTAAACCAATAAACTACCTTAGAGAGGGTATCATTTAATATGGTCATAGTTAATGACATGTCTGTCTGTTTTAAAAATCAAGGATGTGCCATCAGCAAACAACACTATTTCGCAATGGTCCTTAACAAAGAACGGCAGATCATTAATATAAATCAGAAATAAGAAAGGTCCAAGTATTGAGCCCTGCGGAACACCCATTTTTACCGGAGAACCCAAAGAAGTCTGAAGGTTAAAACCTACAACAAAAGTTAAATTAATACCTACTTTCAGTCGCAAGTCCAGTAGCTGTTGTCCTCCTTCAATGCCATATGAGTGTTCATACTCGAATTCCCAGTCTCTAACGAGAAACATCAATTTTTGGAAGGGCTTAACACCATTGCTGGACTCCGAAGCCATTCTTCCGTATTCTGTGAAAAGCTGCAACAACGACACACGTTACTTTGCACCATTGGTATAATAAGCATTGGTTATTCACACACAATTCGGTTGTATGCTAATATAGAACACACTTTTGTATTGAAAAAATCCCGCAAACCTGTATTGGAAAAATTATTGAGTACAAATCGATGGCTTTCTAGAATAGTGGCCTATCTCAAAAGCATCTAATTCAACAGGAAGATGGATTAAAAAGCTGAGAAGCGTCTACCACCCAAAGTTGACCAGTCGTAATTCATCCCAATATTGTCATGTGATTATTCTTCTTCTCATTTAAGAGGTAGGCTCTTGTCGGTGGAGTAATCTCCAATCATCTCTGTTTAGCGCTTTAGCCTTGATTTCCTGATACAACACGACATTAACTTTTTCCTCTATCTGATCTAAATAACTACGTCTCGGTCTTCCTCTGCCTCTCTTTCCTTCGATCTACCCTTCTATTATGTTTCTAAGAAAACTATCGTGACGCATCAGATGACCAAACCTCTTCGGTTCTCTATTGTCTTTAATAAGCTTATAATTTCATTCACTATTCTTAACACCTCCTCATTGGTTTTTCTTTCCGTCCAACTGATTCCCTCCATTCTTCTCCAGTGTCTGCCTCTCCAATGCCTCCAATCGCTCTCTGTCTCTCTGTGTTATTCTATCCAATGAAAAATTTGGAACCCAATCACAATACAATTTAGCATCTTCTGAATTTATCTCTGTAATAAATTAAAAAAGTTTGACCCAATTAAAAATCGATTTTGAATTGGGTCACTATTCTTGAGAAGCAACGAAGTGATTCTCTAATTACAGGTATAAGAGTGGTTACACACGGCGCGTTCGTGAAATGCGCGGTTGCATCGCCTCACGTGCGTTTTATAGGCGATTGCATCGATGGTTACTCACAAGTGTGGCGATGCGATCGCGCGTTTGTATCGATGCAGTCGCGCGCGTGTTTAACCGCTTTTAGGTCAGCTATTTATATATCTAAACCATTTTTCTCCCGTATTTCTTCAAACCGCTATTTTGCAAGTGCTGCATTTACAATTAGCAGAGTAAAATAGCACAAATTACACTAACCAGCTGCATATAGGATATATCGAGTGTGTTTTGGAATTACGCGATTTAATTCCGCCTTCCCCTTTCCATCACCGGGGGACTAGGCGTAGGCTTGGGTTCCACCGCTATGATGTGGATGTTACAAAGGTTCGCATGAAGCGTTAGCTTCTACATTTATATGGCGAACGGCTATGGAGTGGAATTCCCTGCTGCAGACTTGTTCCGTGAACGTTGTAACTTGTGTCTTTTCAAGGCGAGAGTGAATAGGTATTATGTAGTGCATGCTCCATAGTCGACCTCATCGTCACTTCCCATCAGGTGAGTTGGAAATCAAATGCGCACTTACATTTCATAAAAGAAAATCCATTAATCATCTTTTTATAGCAGTAGAGCTCCTTGTGAAAGAGTTCGTCCAGGATAGTACTGCCACCTTACCTATTTCTGCCGCCAAGCAGTAATGTCAGCATTACTGAGTTCCGGTTTTGAAGGGTAAGGGTGCTGATGAAGTTACAGGCACATGGGACTTGTCAACTTATGTCTCAGACGACGGGCGCAGTGGCATTGTCCGTCAAATCTTTGCATTTTAAAGCCCGTATCGCTTACCATCAGGCGTACGACTAGTTCGTCCCGTTACTTTATCTCATAAAAAAAAATGTAATTTTGTACTAACGTGCAAATGTTGGAGATCGTCTTCCTTAATATTTCTTGATAGATTATAGACCTGATTTGATGATACGAGAGTTGAAAGAGCGAAGATAGTGGAGCTATCGCGCACTGTGCTATGGCAGTCGAAGGAGCCTTGAGTGTCAACCAGCAAAACAACCACCTGCAATCCAATAATACGTGGAATTACGTCTATTTGCTAAGTTTTATTGAAATATCCCCTAGTTCGCCACTATACAGGACTTGACGCTGGAGATAATAAAAATCGGTTCTCACTACTCGAGTATATTGAGAGAAAAACACCTTGAATTGGAGAAATAGCAAATCAACCATTAAAATAATTGCTCCTAAATTAAAGTTTAGGCGCTATTTATAAAAATGAATCTTCACGCATGAACAGCCACCCTTAGAGGT